TAATTGTCAACAATTCAACATCCATAGGGACCCCTTCAGATCTTGACTTGAAAAAATGACACCAAAATATGAGAATAAAGAAAATCAAAATTCTTAACAACCAAACATAAAAAAGACAAATTTTCTTGTTGCAATTTTATTATTAATTTTTGTAAAGTAGAGAAACAAAAAGCAAAAGCAGTAGCTTCATCAAAAGAGCGTGAGACGCATCATTACACCCAACGTCCTCCCAAGCCCCGGCTTTTGGAGATAAAAATGGCATTTTTAGGGCTCAAGAGATTCTCAAAATTACAAGGGTTCTGAGGAGTTCTTTTAATAATTCCTTGAGAGCAATGGCGGATGAGCGAGCCAAGGTCCGAGTGGTCCGCTGTCCAAAGTGCGACAAGCTTCTCCCTGAGCTCGCCAATTTCACTGTGTACCGTTGTGGAGGTTGCAATGCTACACTCCAAGGTAAGTTTTTGACGGCTAGATTTTAGCATTTGAGTGTGATTCAGGGATTTAGTGGGTAAAAGGTTTGATTTTGGTGTGATCATAGAGAAGCTTGAGTTAAATTTGGGGAATGCTGTGGATTTAGTTTGAAAGCTTTTTTTTAATTTAGTTTCGTTTTTTTTTGCGGAAAGGCTTTTGATTTTTCTTCTTCTTTTTTTCCTTTTAATACCTTAAAACTTTGTATATGAGCTCTTACAATTTATTTACCCGTTCTGTGAATTTTCTTTTTCTTGATTTGAAAAGAACTCAAACCTTTTCTGCTGACGAATTTAAGTGATGCTGGATTGTTGGTTTCTAACTGTTGTTTGAGTACGTTGTGGGCTAAAAAAAAATGAGGTTTAGGAACTATTTTTTCCTGGTAATGGACCGTTATTATGCAAAATTTGGATATTGTATCACTAATGTAAACAGTGGTTTGTATCAAAATTACATTTTCCCTTTGTTTGTTTGGTTTTTGGACTGTTCTCTCTATATCTTAAGGATTCTGTTCTTCATGGTAGAAGATTAAAAGTAAGAGCTGTTTTTTCAGCAAAGAGGAGGAGTGCGGAATCAGACGCTTCATCAGAAAAATCCGACGGAGTAGCTGTTAAATGTCTCGAGAGTGCAGATGTTTGTTCTGAAAAGAATGCAGTAGTGGCTTCTGATGCAAGTTCTGAGGTCAATTGGAAAGGTGAAAGAGTTGAGATTAGAGGAGAGGAGGAGAAGTTCTATTTGAAGGATTCACCAATATCTGATTGTACTTTTGTACCTACAAGTGAAAATGGGGATGATTTGAGAGAACCAGAAATCTCAAAATTAGGTGAATCTTCTATAGAAAGTGGAATAAAGTGCGGAGATGGTAAATACCGACAGTGCTCTGCAGCTGCACCTAATGTTTTCCCTGCCAATTTGGATGATCTTGTCCAAGAAAAGGTAGAAGAGCAACAAGAAACCAAAATGCAAGTCGAATGTACTAAGCCAAATCCCAAATTCCAGCAGAAGGAATCCTGGAGGAATGAAGATAATAATAGAGCATCAACATTTCGAGGTCCTAATCCTTATCCTGATGAGGGCCCATCAAATTACAATCAAAATTCTGCCAAAAGGAAAACCTTTGATAGTCCTTGCTCAGCTGAGAATCTTGACGAAGATCGAGCTGAACTTTTGAGAAAGCTGGATGAGTTAAGAGATCAACTCAGAAGATCTTGTGAGGTTGCTGAAAAACCAAAAGAAAGGCCTTCTGCGAGTAGAACAACATTCTCAAATCCTTATGCTCGTAATGGCCGAAATAATTGGTTTCCGGAAGGTTCTTCATCATTGAACCGGATCAGAGCATGGACTTGCCAAATCTTTATCCAACAGTTCATCCACAGAATGGAATTCCTGGATATAGAGAGGTATTTGGGCCCCATTCACTTGGGAGAGCTCAATTTCACCCAACTGGTCAGTATGCAAGGGCTATGAGCAATGGCCTATATGGACAATTCGATCCAGATCCTCTTGTTTCCTATCACCATGATGGTTTTTACCATCAACCTGCTTGCTCTTGTCTTCATTGCTACAATAGTCAATGGCCATCCTTTTACAGTAATCAGAGAGTTCCGTATCCTGTAAACAACCATGGGTTTTATCAGGCAGAAGGTCCCTCGATTCTTGGACAGCAGAATTATAATCAAAGAGATCTCAATGGTCCTTTGGCTTCTAATGAACCACGTTATCGCCAGAGGCCCGTGTTCATGAAGAAAGAAGGGCTCAATTGTCGACCCGTTGCTGGTGCTGCTCCGTTTGTTTCATGCTATAATTGTTTTGAGTTACTGCAACTACCTGAAGACATTTTAAGAATGGGAAAGAATCAGCATAAGCTTCGCTGTGGATCTTGCTCCCAGTTAATCTCATTTGAGTATGATGGGAAAAGACTTGTTACTTCTGGCCCTTCTCAAAAAACAAATACTTCTGAGAATAACAATAATGGTGGGATAAACAATCATGCGAATGAGCATCTGGCAAATTCTTTGTCTGGAAGTTTTGATAGCACAGGATTTGAAGTTCACTCTGCAGATGAGAAGATAGTTTTGCCTTCATACCCTGTCTCAAGTGCTGAAATGTTAGAAAAGGGATATGGTTTTCATATGAGTGAGTCAGAGAAAATGCAAGGGCTCTCATCATCCCCCACCACTTCTGAAGATTTAGATAGCCCAGATAGTATGATTTGCCGAAGAGATGTACCAAGCTCAACTGAAATTCCTTTAGAAGCTAGAGGGCTTTCACGTGTCCCAAGTTTACCACTTCGTGAACATTTTGCATACCCATTATCTAATCAAGTGGTTGATGGGCCTGGAAATGGAAGTAGGAGCAGGCGTTCTGATCAAGAGAAAATTATATCCACGAATGGCAACTTTAAGCAGAATTCTGTAAGAGATGTCCCTGTGGCATCAGAAATGGACTTATCAGCTGATGAATATCCAGATGCTGGTTCTCGTGATTCTTGTGAAGTGAGCAATGATGAAGACCAACCTAGGGCCAAAAACAGCAAGAATGGTGAATCCTTCTTTGCTGGCCTCATGAAAAAGAGCTTTAAAGATTTCCCCCGCTTTAATCAATCAATGGAGAATGGCAGGAGTAAAGTTTCCATTAATGGCCATCCAATTTCTGATCGTTTAGTTAAGAAGGCTGAGAAGCTAGCTGGACCAATCCATCCTGGAAATTATTGGTATGGTTTCTCAAATTTGACATCAACTGCAGTTTGTTTCTATATTGAATTAGTTCTAGGTCTATATGCCTTTGTTTGTGATTATTTTTCAATTATCTAATCTAAGTCATGGACTATTGGTATGCTTTCACAAATTTGACGTCGACTGCAATTCTTTTCTGTATTGCAATTAGATCTATGTCTATATACCTAGGTGTGTGTTTAACATTTTTTTCAATTATCTAATCTAATGCATGGGGTTAAATAAGTTATCTTATGCATTTGCATTACATTTCATCTTAAGCTAATGCCAATAATATATATAAATATTATTTTTGCATCTTCCTTCGGGAGTTGCTCCCTGAAAAATTATTTGGTTTTGTGAAGATGATCACTGGCAGTTAATTTTTGAAGTCAGGGAGTGTAAGCAAAAAAGAAAAAGAAAAAAAAGAAAAAGAAAAAAAAGAAAAAAAAGATTCTGCAGCTTATTTAATTATAGCTGTACCATGAAGTAAGATAGAGTTTTAACATTCTCGAATTCAGATATGATCATCATTCTGCAATGAAATATATCTGGAAGAAACACCCTGATATTTTAAAATTGTAAATAACTATACAAGGACAAACATCAATGGGTTCCATACTTTGGTTCAAATTGTCCAATTTTTTGTCGTATTGGTTTCCCAATTTTAGGATGCTGCTTTGTCCAGAACTTTGAAACAGATGAAAATATGTACGAAGGACCAATCATTTTTATGGTGTAATTGGTTAAAAACTCTTTAATTAAAACATCCTATGCCTGTGTTGTGGTCCTTGTCAAATGAGTGAAGGACTATTAGAATGTGGGAACTGCAATGTTCAGCAAGCTACTTCCTGGTATTTGAAAGTCTAATGAAATTGGTAATTTAATGAGATTGGTATGGTGCTTACTGTAAAGTTGAATAGGATATCCGCTCTGTTGAATAGTAGTGCTCATTTTGCACTACCATGCATTATTCCCAGTCTAGACCTGAAAATTTGACCTGAAGTCAGATACCCATGGCATGGTTATGAACAGGGGTACATGCTATATCATTTTACATTTTCTGGATACTGTTTTAATCTAGTTTGCATTCCTGATTCTTCATATGGGGCACAATTTGACAAGGTTGTGCTGCTTTCTACATAGAAAATAATTTTTTTATATCCTTCTTCAGGTATGACTACCATGCTGGATTCTGGGGCGTCATGGGCCATTCTTGTCTTGGCATTATTCCCGTAAGAGTAATAATGCAAATCTAAATTACCCTGTAACTATATGCTGATTTATTTGTACTTGAACACATTTTTGCAGCCATTCATTGAAGAATTTAATTATCCTATGCCCAAGAGTTGTGCTGGGGGGAATACTGGTGTTTTTGTAAACGGGAGAGAGCTACACCAGAACGATTTGGCTTTGCTTGTTGGCAGAGGATTGCCTGCTACTGAAGGTCAATCTTATACAATTGACATTTCTGGGAAAGTTTGGGATGCCGCCACTGGTGAAGAACTAGACAGTCTTGGAAAGCTTGCTCCAACGTAAGTGTCTGCACCTTACCTTTTAGTTGCATGAAGTTATCTGTATTGTTAAAACTTGGGAAGTAGGAACCTATTAGTAGCTTCTGAAATAACCTTTTGTGGCAACTATTTGAGAGATTATCTACTGCTGTTATTCATAATGGTTGATCCCACAACAGAAATTTATTTGAAATGTTTTGTTTAAAACCTTATTGAATGCAGCTGAGGATGATTTTTTTTTGGGTTCAAAATATTAGTTGTCTTATGGCTAGGAGACTAGATAAATATTAAAAGTTGAATGCAGCCCAGGATGATTTTTTATTTTTATTTTCATTTTTATTTTTGTGTTTTGTTCAAAAGATTAGTTATCTTATGGCCAGGAGACTGGATAAATATTAAAAGTCGAACCACTGGTGAAAAATATTCATCTAGTTTTTGATTACCATGCATTCAGCCTTGGCAAATTTCATATTGTACATCTTCACTGAAAAGGAAAATCTGCATAATAACTATGAATATTTTGTTCTTGTACTGTGACTCCAGATTATATCATGACATGTCATGACCATGTTGGCAAATAAAATGTAAAAAGAAGGAAATAATTATTTGTTATTAGCGCGGAAAGTACACATATGTCTTTTAAAAAACACAGAAAAAATGAAAAAGGTGAAGATATAAGTGCCTAGTAAATCATATTTAACATGGTTTAGTTCCCAAAAGACTGTAGATTGCGGTAAATAAAAAGTGCTACGTATTGTCAAGATTTACATGTTAAACACTTAATTTGTTTGGATACATATATGCCAATCACCTACTATATATACACACAAACACGCCACACAGATATGGACTTAGGTTCTTCGTTTGATCCTTCGGAAGGATTTGAAACCAAATTCTCCCTTTTGGGATTAGATATTGGGACATCTATTTTTCTAGTCCACTCCAGTAAGTAAATAAGGTAGATCTGCATTTTTGAAAGTTCCTGCAAACTAAAAATCGAGTATAAAATGGATTGTTGAAAATGTTATTTGCTTAAATCAGCACTGTGGAACATATTATAAACACTTTAGAATTCTTTCAAAAAAGTGTTAGTTCTCAAACATTTTATAAATTAGAATAAGCTAAAACTTGCTATTTAGGCAATTAATTTGCATTTTGATGCATGGGCAAATCAACTTTGAAAATTTATAATTTATATTTTAGGCACTCTAAATATTTTACATCCACTTTAGTGGGTGGATCTCTCATATGATTGTCAAATATTAAACTTTAATGGAAGGATGTCTCCAAATTTTATAGTCAACTCTCTCTTTTATGAGCTTGTATTTATTTATGTATATATGTGTATTGTTCATAGTTGCATGGAACCCGGCTCGTTCCGGTTCACAGGTACATCACTTATTTGGAATCAGGTATGAGGAGGGTATGCTTATATGGTATACTGGGAAACATGATATGCTTTAGGTTGGGTTTTTAACTCTAGGAATCTTAGAGCCTTAGTGTACGATCTTCTATAATAGCCAAATTCAAAGATCACTAATGATAGAGGAATTCTCAAGTTGCAATTAAGGTAAGTTTTCTGTTTTTTAGGTTACGAAAAATGATTGTTTTTTTTTTTTCAAATTTGAATTTTTTATATCGGGTCACGAAAGTTGGTAAACTGGGTTGCTTTTGAACATGACCCATTTTACTAGTGTACCGCGTTCTAGGACGATTGCATGCGGGTCGTGGTTCTTAATAGTGTCGCACGTTCACAACATCTGTGATATTATTTGTATTATATTAGGAAATAATAGGTATGAGATGACAACCCATTTTGCTAAATGAGCTACAACCCATTTTGCTAAATGAGTTACCAAAGATGGAGATGTGATGAGGCCCACCATGATAGTTATATCTGATGACTGTTGTTGGGTCTCGCCATGCTCATCTCTTAGTAGCTTATTTAGTAGAACGAGTCACTCTATGCATGTATTGCATGCATGCATGTATATATGTACGTAACACACACACATATATGTATATTCATACATAATGGGAAACACGGGTATGAGTGACAACTCATTTTGCTTAGCTACCAATAAGTAGTCAAACTAGAGTAGGTGTGACATCACCACTCTTTTCTCTTGATGGCTCAATTTGCTAAATGAGGTGAGGTGGCAGGCCATATTCAATACCCGATTCATATATACATAACTACATGTATATGTGTGGGTGTGGAAAGAGAAACAACCCTGAGTAATTATGGGAAGAATTTGACGGCAGCTTCTTCCCAATGGAATTCGATGATGAGGCATCCATTTACAGGATCTACTCAGTTGAAGTTAGTCTACGCTATTTTATGTTGTCTAAACACAAATATTTTAGATTCTTTTGCTCATGAATAGGCACAAAATGGATGACTGAAGAAAAATGTTATTTTTCTTAGATCTTTACTTTTGGTATTATGATTGAAGTTCAAATATTTGGTCCTCAAAACCCTTAGAATCCTTATACCTCAGTTTTTTTTTTCTGGTTAGGTCTCAAACATTTTGCACCTTAACTAATCCACTTGCTATTAAATGGTTTATTTTCACCTCTCAATGCATGAACAAAATTTTTTGAACCCCTCTTCTTCTTCTTCTTCTTCCTTTTTTTTTTGGGTTTTTAGGAATTTTAGAAGATGTAAACGAATTTTGAAGAGTAGTGGATCTCTTGTATGAATGACCAAACATCAAATTTAAAAGAATTGATTCGTCTCTCAAATTTCCTGAGAAGTAGACAAGACTCTATAAGTTATTTCTAAATTATTTATACTTTTTGTGTTTTATTTATCTTATTTTGAGTTGGTTGACAGATTTATACATTCACGGCGAGTCATGTTTAAAGAAATCAAGGATACAACCCATAACAAACCAAAGGAAACGTTATATGTGTTTAATTCTGTTTAATACAGCTTTAGAAAATATACTGTCAATGTCAATAGTACAAACTTTTTGCTTCTCTTTTTGGCAATGAAGTTACTAGCATTTTGAGGCATGGAAACAAGTTTTGATTTAATAGATGGTCTTTTGCTAACTAGGGCACGTTTGCAAGTGATTTATAAACAGTATTATCTTCAATTGAATGGCGAAGTACTTTGTTTTATATGTGTATAGTCATGTTAATTCACAAACTTTTATCGCATTTGTGAAGAACTCATTCCAAATATCCTTGTAAACAGAATTGAGAAAGTAAAGCATGGCTTTGGTATGCGGGTTCCTAGAGTTTCTGCTTAGGCGGCATGAATGTTTTATTCAACTGTGAAGGTTCTGATGTTTGGTGAGGATGTCTTGTTGCGGGAGACTGGAAGAGGAAATGAACTGATACAATCTCCATGGAAAGAGCCAATTGTCACAGGAGACTTTTCATTGTAACTCAGTAGATGCGACCACATCAATCTCATATCTAACAAGCTTGATGTTTTAAGGTTGTTTCCTTTTGTGTGATTTTATGTTTGTTTGGAAATGTTTTCTTTGTATCGCGTTGAGGTTAGATAGTTTGTTATGATAGGTTCAAATACATGTCGTGTTTTCTTTGTGCTTTACCGTCTATTGTTTTTGTTCTATATATTGCGCATGTTCATGTGGGCAAGCTTGATCAAGACTGAAGCCCTCTACTTTTACTATAAATTGTCAATGGAATGTGGATTAAGATCTGTGATACAAGATTGCGTTGCTTGAAGATTTCAACTAATGATTGTTGTTACATTGCTGATTAACGGATAATGGCATGAATACAGTACTCAATAATTTTTACTGAAAATGTCAAAAAGCCTTGTAATGTTGTGAGAGCCAGAGGTACTTAGGTATCAATTCAATATGTGAGTGCATGAATGCTAACTTTGATCTCTCTACCTGCTATCTGAAGCTTTCAAAGGTAAAATCCATTGTCCATACCAATTCTTGCAAGGTTGGTGTCTCTCGTAGACATCTGATGAGAAACAAAGCTTGTCTATTGACAGGAGAATAGTAAGTGTAAATGTAGGACAGGACCTCATTTAGTATCACCGCACATGTCTCTGTCGCTTGCCTGACAAAGACCAATTATTTATAGTCAGGTTGATGTAGCTTTCATGTCTTCAGTATTGCCTCCCACTCCAGCTGCTCAAATGGTCCCACTGCAAGTTCAGCAGCCCTAAGTTCATGCAGTAAGTTCATGCAGTCAAATCTTGCAGTTTACTGACTACTGCTGCTGCAGTGCTGAGGCTTTCTGAATCTCTCATGCCATTTCATGCGGGCATCAGTGATTTTAAATGTTGGGTTAATTGGGAACAGATCCCCATTAGTAGTATCAGCCACAATTGTGAGTAAGACCTTCTGTAGTCATATTTTTGTGAAAAGCCCTCCTTAGTGAATTTTTTGATTCCTTAATCCGTTAAAAAGGTTTAAGGAGGTGGGTAGACTTCCTATAGTTTTATTGGTGAAGATAGATCATCAAATTATTTTGATTTTAAAAAGAGTTGAAATCACTAAGAGGGTGTATTCGCACCTGAGCCACTATTATAGGGGTCCCTGCGCCACAAATAGAGCTATGTGGGGTTGAAATGCAATTCAGTTATACTAAAGTGTGACTGTTCGCAATCAGCCCTAAATGTTTTATAATTTTAATATTGCAGAATGAGCTGATAAAATCAATTGATCTGCTAGTTTTCCGTTGCAAAGATTACTTAAAAGAGTTGTAAAGTGACCAATTAGCTAATCCGATTTCTTCACTCTCTCTGCTTGCACAGCTAATTGTTGTGTGATTGCTTTGAAGAAATATGCTGCTGATTTCATGGGAACAAATTCAATCAATTTTGAAAAATTGATATCTCACTAACCCCACTTACCAAAATAATGCAAGATTAATTTCTGCTCTCTTGTCGAGGTTAAGCCTCAACTTTGATTTCAGTTTCTTCACTGTCTGAGCATGCAAATGTTGGAGTATGCAAGCCGCGGGAGATAAAACTTAAACATCAAGAAACCCCAAATCTACCAAGCAATCAAGACAAACAACAAACATAACATGGTTCCACGCGATCAAGATGATCTGTGTACGTTCACGGGGAGAAGGAGGAATATCTTATTTCTTTTGAGAAGAGATTACAAAAGGTTGAAACTACACACTCCTAACAATGTGGAATATTGATCTCTCTTTTTTCTTCTTCTTCTTATTGTTAAACCCAGAGATTGATACAATATACATAGAGATTGATTTTGCTCAATCCTATTAGAACTCTAACTTGAATCCTAATTGAATTTCCCAATTCAATTATTGATTTTGCTCAATCCTATTAGAACTCTAACTTGAATCCTAATTGAATTTCCCAATTCAATTAATTCCTTCAATCCAATCCTAATTAGGATAAACTCTAACTTGAATCCTAATTGAATTTCCCAATTCAATTAATTCCTTCAATCCAATCCTAATTAGGATAATATAATCCTAATTAGAGTCCAAACCCAATCCTGCTTCTCAACTGATTTGAGTCATCATGAACTCAACAATCTCCACATTGACTCACATCATGTTGAATCAATTATTCGCGAAGATTTTCCAAAATCAACCCCCACTTTATACAACTCTCTCCCAAGAGTATTTCTTCAAAGTTACTTCTGAAGAATGTGGATGAAGTCCAGAGATGCTTTGAACTTCTCCACTGGAATGGCCTTTGTCATCATATCCGCCAGATTCTTCTTTGTACTGATCTTCACCAATTCGATCATTTTTTCCCTGTCAATCCACTCTCGGATCTTGAGATACCTGATGTCAATGTGCTTCGTCCACTTGTGATACTTCTTTCTGATCCTTCGTGAGATGAATCGCGCTCTGACTGTCACAATCAATAGGTATTGAATCCTGCATGATGTCAAACATCCTTACCAAACCCTGCAACCACAGAGCTTCCTTCGATGCCTCAACTGCAGCTATGTACTCCGCCTCAGTCATCGAAAGAGCCACAGTTTCCTGTAACTCAGCCTTCCAACTAATGTCACAGTTACAAACTATGAATACATACCCCGTCGTTGACCTCCGCTGATCAAGGTCGCCTACGTAATCTGCATCGACGTATCCCTTTAGTTTCTTAGACCTCTTATCCTCCAAAGACTGAAATAATAGGCTCACCTTTACAGTCCCTCATAGATAACACATAATCCACTTCATCGCCTCCCAATGCTGATTTTTTGGATTTGACATGAATTGACTTACTGAACTTACTACATAGGCTAAGTAAGGCCTAGTGCAAACCATAGCATACATCAACGATCCCACCACACTCACATATGGTATCCGAGATATTTTTTCCTTCTCCTTAACTGTTTGTGGACATTGCTCTGAGGATAATTTGAAGTGACCGACTGAAGGAGTAGAAACCGATCGTGCTTCATCCATGTTAGACCTTTTCAACACCTTGAGAATATAATTCTCTTGGGACAACCAAAGTTTGTCAAAAACCATGTCTTGTTAGATATCCATACCTAAGATCTTCTTGGCTGCTCCCATATCCTTCATGTCGAACTCCATCTTCAGCTGCTGATTGACTTCCTCGATTTGTGCCCTTTCCTTTGCAGCTATCAACATATCATCCACATATAATAGCAAATATGTTGGATGCACAGTCTGCCTGTAATAGACACAATCATCATACTCACATCAATTGAAGCCGTCCTTGATCATGAATGAGTCAAAGGATAGTACCACTGCCTCGGAGATTATTTGAGCTCGTACAAAGACCTCTTAAAAAGACAAATCTTATCCTCTTCACCTTCGTGGAGATATCCCTCAGGCTGCTTCATGTAAATTTGCTCCTCCAATTCTCCATGCAGAAATGTTGTTTTAACGTCCATCTGCTCCAACTCTAAATCATACTGTGCAACAATAACCAACAACAAACGAATGGACGTATGTTTGACTACAGGAGAAAAAAAATCTCATTGTAGTCCACTCCTTTCTTCTGAGCATATCCCTTGGCAACCAACATTGCCTTGAATTGCTCACCATCTTTCTTCCGAAAGATCCACTTGCAACCAATCGCCTTTGAGCCTCTTGGAAGATTAACCAGAACCCATGTCTGATTCTTCTCCAAAGACTCCATCTCTTGTTCCATGGCTGTAATCCACCTATCACGATCATCTACTTCAACGGCCTCTCTGTAGCTACATGGGTCTCCAGCTTCTGTGAATAAAGCAAAAGATACGTGATCATCGTCTTCCTAACCATATCTAGTAGGTGAGGCTCGAGCGTCTCAATACTATTAGCTGCTCCTCCTATGTAGTAGCTCTGTCTCCATCATCGGTTGAAGTCTCATTGGTAGGCCCACTAGGGCTTGCAAGGCTTTTCGAAAACTCCACCTCCTGTACCCGAGAATCTGTAGAAGCATCTGGAGCTCCACCTTACGCCTTGTCTTCTATCTTCGAATCTTCCCGCATGATAGCGTCTTTATCAAAAATAACATCTTTACTGGTAAAGGCACTATGAGTCTCAGGAGCCTATAACCGATACCTTTTTACTCCATAAGTGAATCCTATGAAGATACACTGTCTCGACTTGGACTACAACTTCTTTCTCTTCTGACTGTCTACAAGACTATACGTTGGACAACCAAATAAGCGTAAATTCGAGTAGTCCACTGATTCTCCTCGCCATATCTTCTCTGGGATCTAAAGATAAACAGATGTAGATGGTGACATGTTAATCAAATAACATGCATGATTTACTGCTTCCGCCCAAAAAACCTTCGGACATGTCTGCTTGTAGCAAGACACTGCTGTCTCTTTCCATCAGTGTCTGATTCATGCGTTTAGCTACTCCGTTTTGTTATGGTCGTCCTGACACACTTAACTGATGCTGGATGCTTTCATTAGTCAAGTACTCTTTGAATTCCCCGGATGTATACTCACCCCATTATCTGACCTCAAGACTTTCAATTTCAACCCATTCTAATTTTCCACCAACACTTTCCACTCCTTGAACTTCTGAAAAACCTTAGACTTCTACCTCAAGAAATAGACCCAAAGCTTCCTGGAGAAATCATCAATGAAGGTAACATGATACCTCACACCCCTAATGGATGCCTTCAGTGAGGGCCCCACACATCAGTGTGGACAAGATCTAGCAACCCTTTGGACTTATGCTGCGAAGTAGAGAAAAATACTCTACGCTGCTTTCGCAAAACACAATACTTACAAAAGTCAAGTTTGCATTGAGTTATTCATGAAAGCACACCCTTGCCGTGAAATACATGCAGACCCCTTTCACTCAAGTGTTCTAGACGCATGTGCCAAAGTCTCAATTGATTAGTCTTCTCTGCTTCGGCTGAAACCTCGTCCTCAATAACGCTGCCTACTAATCTGTACAAGTTCCTCATACGCTCTCCTTTCCAAATAGCAGTAGAGCCTCTGGTGACTGTGATAGCTCCACCTTCACCATGAACTTGCACCCTTGAGCCTCAAGAGCTCTCAGCGAAAAAGATTTTTCTTTAAGTCCAGAACATACCGAACATTAGAGAGAGTCCTTTCCTATCCATCGTGCATCTTCATCCTGGCATTCCCAATGCCAACAATCTGACACATTGCATTGTTCCCCTTGAGAACCGATCCTCTAGAAATAGGCCTGTAAGTGCTGAACCACTCCCTCCTTGGCACATGTGATATGTGCATCCTGAATCAAGTAACCAATCATC